GGAGGGGTGGCGGGGGGGGGTCTGGGGGGGGGGGGGGGAATAGTCTTAAGAAAGTGAAAAAGTGAAGTGCAGAAGAGCGAACCACGTTCACGTTTCATTCAATATTGCTTTTACAAATGTATATTGAGTTTTATTTCTGCGCATGTTGTTCATATGAATAACTGTTATGTTGCTGTGTATACACCTTCGGTGTCGATCAGCTGACACGGCTCAGCCGCCTCCGACAGTTTACTGATCCACCTGCAGACAGACACACGGAAACATTCAGTGTGATAATAACAGCAGCGACTCGTCTTCTTCTTCTTCACATCACAGCACAAAACAAGAAGTAGGGGCGAAGAAATGAGAAATGATGAGAGGAAGAAGAGGAACTATGATCAGTTCAGAGAAAAGTATATCTCAACAACGGCTGTCTTGATTAACATTATTAAAGAGTAACTAAACACACAAACTACCTCTTTTATCAGCTGAAAACCAACGTTTTAAGTAGCGATTCAAATCTATATCTATGTATATATATATAAATATCTATATATATATATATATAAATATATTAATAAATATATATATACAAATCAGAAAAAGTAAAATACTTACTTATTCATGTCTGTGAAGCTCTCAGCGGCGATGAAAATAGTCACAACCAGAGGATGACTGGCTGTTATGGCACTGAAACAACACTGAGCGGTTAATAACGTAAAAATAAAGATTTAAACAATTAACAAAAGCTTGATCGTGTCTGAGAGGACTATACTCTGCATGTTTGATGCTTAACTGTCGCATGAAATCATGGTGGAATTAGCAAGCTAGCGAGCTATCTTTTGGAGCAAATACTATTTTAAATGTATTGTAAATGTAAACTTTAACTTGAACAGATGAGACAGTCTGACAGTATATTTGAGTCTTCTGGATTTGATCACAGCTGAACACGACTGCTGCCACCAATAGAAACACAGCAAACATGGCGTACTGCTTCTTTCTGCACTGTTTAGCCGGTTCGATGGTGAAGCCGGACAGGTTGATGAATCCTTCTGCTTTCTCCGCCTGCAGAGGAGAGAAATAACACACTGAGCATTCTCACGTTAATAAAGACGTTTTTAAAAAAGAGAATTGTTTCAAAATGTCTTAATACATTTCGGATGGGGTTTCTTAGTAAAATATTTAATATTTCTTACTGTTATTTTTATTGCTTTAAATGCTGCTGTAGCGAAAGAATTTCCCCGTGCAGGAATAATAAAGTAACTATCTTAATATCTATCTATCTCCATCTAAAAACATATTTATTATTACAAGTATAAAAGTGATAAAAACATCAGATAATAAAGTTTTAAAATCTCTAAGGCTGAGTGCCTGAATCCAGTCCTGTCATATTAGTACATATATGAAATATATCTATAAGGTTACTACACAGTACTCAGTCAGTATGTGGAAACCATGGGCACGAATGACCTGCCATACCGGCCTCCAGCTTGTAGAGTTCTAGGGAAACCAGTGTCTCTGTGTGACTCACCATCTTGTTGCTGTACCAGTACAGAGAACTCTTCTTCAGGACAAACCAGGATCTCATCCATTTGCTTCCCAGGAAGCTGCGGCCCGCCTTCCTGCGGAGGAGCCAGCCCTGACAGTCCGGCACGCCCAGATCCCGGACCGAGACCCGCCGTCGACTCATGGCTGCAGTGGAGCCTGCAGGAGGACGAGAACATCAACGTTTTTACGTTTTCTCTTTAGTTTAAAAGTAATCTATTACTGGTGTCTGTAAATGTATGAGTGCATTGTAAACAGGGACTGATAATACTTTGAATGGTGCCTGTTGCTAATAAACATCCATAATTAGAAATCACAGATCAACACGCTCCTTATAACGCCAGAACTTGCCTGAGAATCTTCACGTTTTTACATTTTCTTCAGTTTACAAGTAATCTATTAATAGTTGTCAGGACAGGATATCTAGGCGCAGCCTCGGGGGTCTCGGGATCGCCTCTCTGCTGTTTGCAGATGATGTGGTCCTGTTAGCCTCCTCGGGTCGTGACCTCCAGCATTCACTGGGGCGGTTTGCAGCCGAGTGTGAAGCGGCGGGGATGAGAGTTAGCACCTCCAGATCTGAGGCCATGGTTCTCTGCCGGAAACCGGTGGATTGCTCCCTCCAGGTGGGGACGGAGTGCCTACCTCAAGCGAAGGAGTTGAAGTATCTCGGGGTCTTGTTCACGAGTGAGGGTAAGATGGAGCGGGAGATCGACAGGCGGATCGGTGCGGCTGCAGCAGTAAAGCAGGCGCTGCACCGGACCGTCTTGGTGAAGAGGGAGCTGAGCCGGAAGGCAAAGCTCTCAATTTACCACTCGGTCTACGTTCCTACCCTCACCTATGGTCACGAACTCTGGGTCGTGACCGAAAGGACAAGGTCGCGGCTACAAGCGGCCGAAATGAGCTTCCTCCGTAGGGTGGCCGGGCTCAGCCTTAGAGATAGGGTAAGGAGCTCGGTCATCAGGAGGGAGCTTGGAGTCGAGCCGCTACTCCTTCGCGTCGAAAGGAGTCAGCTGAGGTGGTTCAGCATCTAATTAGGATGCCTCCTGGACGCCTCCTACTGGAGGTTTTCCAGGCACGTCCAACTGGGAAGAGACCCCGGGGAAGACCCAGAACACGCTGGAGGGACTACATCTCCCAGCTGGCCTGGGAACGCCTCGGGATCCCCCAGAATGAGCTGGAACATGTTGCCGGTGAGAGGGAGGTCTGGGTTGGCCTGCTTGGCCTGCTGCCACCGCGACCCGACCCCGGATAAGAGGAGGAAAATGGATGGATGGATGGATAGTTGTCTGTACATCTATGAGTGCATCGTAAACAGGAACTGATAATAGATAATCCTTCATACTTTTAATGGGACAAATTTGCTAAAATGTAAACAAATATAGGCTGAACAAGTTGTAGCCTCCAAAGTAACACACTGAATCCATGACAACATTATACTTCCTGTTTACAAACCTCAAAGCATCAAGGGAAATGTGGTTCGGTAATGTAGAGCATGATTAAGCCCAAAGTAATGTATAGTTGGATTTTAAGATAATCAAGAACTAGACATGTTGTTTGTGTTTTTAAACATATTTATGACTCTAAAATGGAGGAGACGGCTCCAAATATACAACAAAAATAAATTCTAAAATTCAACATTTTGTAGAAGAAAGAATGTCCCTGTTCCTCTGGATGATCCACACGGTGCCACCTACATTACAGTGACATTTGATATTTGCTGTCAGAGAGTAAACAGCACAGAAAAGCTTAATAAAAGAGGTCTCACCGGCTGCAGTGTGGATGTCCAGCGGTGTGGTTGGTGTCTCTGCAGCAGACTGACGCTCAGCAGAGGAGGAAGCTGCCTGTGAGAATTTATACATCGCCACGCAAACAGACCACAGAGTCGAAATCACACTCAGACACACATGCATGTGGCCGCATCGTCCTTCCTGTGTAACGAGGTCTGCACGACCCTTCTGTTCCTCAGAGACTCTCTGCACACAAACGTCCTCTCTGATGTCTAGGAAATAGAAAAAGGTTTCTGCAGATAGTGTAGTTCACTCTGACATTTTGTTGGTTTTGATATTTTTGGTTTCAGTATCTTTGACCCCGTGACAGGGCTCATGGGCACATTTTGCACCAGACGTCATTTAAAATGTTAGTTTTAGTTCAGATTTTCAGATATTCTGCAAGTTAACAAGCAGGGAGTGAAAACAACAACCTCCCCTTTGATAGAGGTAAACATGCACTTCATGTTGGAAATGTTACCATGATTTCAATAACTAACAGGTTACTGTTAAGTTCTCTGCAGGAGAATAATTCATGTTAGTAAACGTAAATTTACTGTTTGTCTGATTAATAAAACGCCTATGTTATTGATAAAAGCGATGTATGTAGTTGACATTGTCCACTAGGTGGTGTCATCAGCCAATATAGTGCATTCAAAAGATTTACATTAGCTACTTTAAAGTCATCATCTGTGTTGAAATCCCAAAAAGTGGCAACAAATCACTGTTGACTTACTGTGGGAAGGTGTAGCGAAATTCAAAATAAAGGTTTATTTTAAATACAATGTTTTATTTCCTCTGTAACAACCTCATCAGAAGACACACATCGTATTTATGAATACCAAGAATAATAGAAATAATAATGGATTAAGTACTCTGAGGTGTGTCATTTTGAATAAACATGAGAGAAAACACGTGTTTCTGTAAACACTGGATTTTGTACTAAAGCTGAAATCTTTCAAAATAAATTGCACTTTATTATCTTGTATTTATTTAAAAGTTACAAAGCGTCACACTTCACTGCAGAGCTCTGCAACAGTTCAGATTTACACATGAAGAATGAAACTAGTTAAACTCTTATTTTGAAATACTTAAGGGACAAAACAGATTCATAACATGTGTGTAGTTTTTGGCAAAATTACTCAAATCAGGATCGTCCAAAAATGTAGAAATACAAAGAAACAATGAACAATAAGTGATGAATTTTCTCCTTAGAGTCAGACCTTAAACAGAGGCAACTGTGGCCACATGTGGTAATTACAGGACGATGGCGTTTCAAATTTTCCTACATTTCCCATGATTCTCTTCTGCCATCATTAGGCGACCCGACTGAAAGCAAGTGCAGAAAATAAAATCAGTAAACTGACATGGTAATATACAATAATAGTAACGGTTCAGTGCTTGTAAATCAAACTTTTTATTTGTAAAATTATGAATTTTACATATTTTTACAAAAAAAGTTACATATTCTCACTTTAAATGGAAGAAACGCCTTTTCTTCCACTTATTTGCACGTTTCTATCCAGCAAAGAAGATGCGAGGTGATATTTACAGTTTCAGTTACACCCCGATGATCTTCTGTACAAGCTTTCAAAGCTCTCGCACAAGGTTTTGTTAGTATAAACTTAAAGGCACTCGACATGAACCCGAAACACTCTTTACAAAAGAAAAAAGATCCTCTGATTGTAAACTGCAGAAGAGGATCCAACACGGTTCCCTGAGGAACTCCTTCAAGACGTTTTTCATGACGGAACATGAAGAGAACCTGAAACCCTCAGGAGTTCTTCAGAGAACATTCAGAGGAACCATCGACGTTCTTAACAAGTTTGTTTTACGTGACATTTTAAGCGGCTTACAGCATTAAAGTCAAATAACAGCAGCAGTTTTCAGAAAGAACTCAAGTTCAGGTTTGATATAAGAAATGTAAGTTAACATCTCTGAAGGACAACACAACGTTTTGGAATTTAACACTTAAATTTCACTCTTAAACCAAAAAATAAAAGCTAAATTTGACCACATTTAGTCTTCAGCTGTAACTGTGAGCGTTCATGACTTCTTCAGTTTGAGTCCATCAAAACAGTCCAACACAGATTTGAAGAGTTTCTATATCACGTAATGTTATAGGACAGCAGCCATATTGACTTGTCACTGCAGGGTAAGTACAGATGTAATTAATAGAAATATATTATTATTATAGTTATGATGACCAGTATTCACAGGCCCGCGGTGTGTAAAGGCCTTAAGTAGTAAAAAGCCTGCAGGTAAAGTTTGTGTTGATTAATATTTCGTTAATGTTGTTATTTACTTTTCTTCACCAAAGCATTTTGTTACCCTATCTTCTTAAACTATCATAGTTATTTTTCCTAAAAACAAGTTTAATGTTGAACTTGGAACAAGACTTGTGTGAAGTTTCATAAATATTTAGTAACAATGTTGAGCGCTTGTATTTTCTATTTCTTTACCTTGTCAATAACAGAACATAACACAAAATAAAACAATCGATGAGACGTATTTACAGACAGAGACACGAGAGGCTCCTGAGATCGAGAGGAGAAGACTCGATGTTTAGAAATGCTTCACCACTTTTAAACTAGAAACACACTGAAGTTTGATGATTTGATCTTTCTATCTGAACCCGTCAGATGAGTGTCAAGGCACTGAATCTCATACACGTTGGGAGAGTTTAGATTTGATCTAATTCTGCTTATTGATTCTCTTCTCAAAGAAGCTGTTGAAAACTGTTGAAAACCAAAACCAGCTTCATCTTCAGCAGATTCAGGCCTCCACGAACAGAAACGATGAGGTATTTAAGGGGTTAAAAAGGCCCAACACTAAAACAAAAAGTAGAAGTATTTTTCATGCACAAACTGAATGCTTTCCACTTGTTTTTCTTTGAGTTTGACATCCTGTATGGAAGCTCAGCAGGTCCAAACTTTGTCACTGAAAAGGCAGTTTTCAGCATTAAAAAAAGCAACATGTGAAGTGTTTTCGTTTCATGTCCATTAGAATATATAGATATATTAATACGTCGTTGAAGCCACAGTGACATAAGAGATTAACGTTGAGCCGTCTGCATACTTTTGATCAGATGTAGATGAACAAGATGTTGAGGTTTCAGCAGATAAATCCGCTTCTTCTCGAGTGTCTTTAAGGCTTGAAGAGGGTTTGGTTGTTTGTCTTGATAAGAGTCTCGATGCATCAATCTCACCCGTGGTGGTGGCTTCGCTGCCCTTTGAATAAGTAGGATTTTCCAGCTCTAATTAAGAGCAGCGAGGTCTGTGGATGGTACGAGGTGAGCTGAAGTCGGCAAACTGAAAACATTTGTATCCACCGAACCGTCCGTCATGTCCTCAACTGGATCCCAGTTCACTTCAACCGGTTCACAAACTGGAGTCAGCTGCTCCACCTGATGCTCATCAATTTAATCTCCGATTCTTTTTAAAACTCAGCTAGAAGTCACTAAAGTCAGTAGTATGAATGTGAGGAGACCATGAATATGTGCGTCCAACATGTCCAACATGTTAGTCAGCCCACCGGCTCCGACAGCTCTAATAAAATTTACTCATTTTAAAATGTAACTAATGAGCGTCAACATGGAGTCTCTGGCATGAAGTTCATGGTGGTAACTGAGCTTTATTAAAACTGTCCTCGTCAATGTTTCTGTGTGATGTTTTTATCTTCTTTGCTTTGGTGTTCACGCGTTAGATCTCCTCGATCAAATCTTTGGATCATGTCTGTTGTATTTTAATGTAAATCTTGAACTTGCAAACATTAAAAACCTTTGTTATCTTGTAGACATCCTGAGGATACACGACCTCCTGAACGTGTCTTATCTCTGTTGAGACTCCGTCAGTGGCTGAGCAGCCGGAGACGAGCCAGCCAGCCGCCGAGCAGCGACGTGGACTGTTTGGTGACGGCCATCGGAGGAGGAGGAGGAACGGTGGCGGTGGTGGAGGAGGGGGAGGAGGCAGACTTTTTGGACGCCGCTGGCTCCTGGTAAGGGATGGTGGCGCTGTTGTGCAGGTTGGCGTTGATGAAGCACTGGCTGCCCCTGATGTGGTCGACGCCGCGGACAGACGGGTGTCCTCGGTATGGCAGAGGGAAACACGGCTCCTCCTCCGTGATGGTGCTGATGCCCTCGTTACTCAGATATCTGTGCAGGACGTCTGGAACCAGGAGCAACAATGAGTTCCCTTTCATCAGTGACTTAAACTGTTCTATGTCTCACTTTAACAGGATAGTTCAGTTGTTTAGAAGTGTTCTTCTCAATAGTCAGTGTTTTACTGCAGTAGATGGAGTTTGGAGAAACAGACAGGAGAACATATGATCTCTACAAAGTCACCAGACTCCTGAGAGGTACAATCGCTAGTGAACGGAGTCTGGTGTCTTTGTAGAGATCATAACAGCTTCCGTTCCTCGGAGGTGAAAATATTCTAAATATAGCGTTCACTTAGACTGATATAGATTATTTTAGGTCTATTAAAGTGAGTACTACACTGACTATGGAGAAGTACTTCATACAACCACACGTCTAAACATCACAACTGTCCCTTTAACGCTTTCAAGTCCCAAAACTGTCCACAGTCAGTTTCAAAAAGGAAAGTAATACATTCAATGATGCTTTTGGGCTCTTAAACAAAATCCTTTCGCCAAACCGGAACACAAAACTACAATGCCCTTTAGTTTTCACTCCAGAAACTAGGAAACCAGAGACTCTAATTGTCTTAAAAAGGATCTTCAACACTGTATCAATTTGTTTTGAAGATCATGTGACTTATTGTGAATATGAAATATGAAATACTAGTACTAAATAAAGACATGACTTGAAGAAGGCTGACATTGAGAACTTTTCAGGGTGATTGTTTTAAAGCTGAAGTGTAAATGTCTCTTTTTCAGAGTCAGTGGAAAAGCTGCTAATGTGTCTTTGTTTGACTGCTCTGACTTCCATTAGCAGCCTGATATCTCGGACAAACTGACGAACACACGTTCAGATCCACGCGGTCGGCCCCTGAAGGTGAAGTGCTCGGTTAATAATCGACCAGGTAGACGGCCGTTAACGAGGCAGACAGGCGACACGTTACTGATAACGGTGAGATTAACGGAGGACGCTCACCTTTCTTTCTCTGAGTGCCGGGCCTGGAGGACGGGTCACCTGAGAACGACTCCACCGGCATGGAGACGGGTCGAGGTTTACCTGCCAACCGTCCAGACACAACAGAAAGTTAAAAACCATTTAATATTCTGTTGGTGTGATCTTTTCTGAAGATACACGCCTTCTTGTAGAGCGTTAGCTGAGAACACAGAAAGCACCTCTAGTGTCTGTACAGTAAATATGAAGCTACGTATAGGTAGCTTAGCTTAGCACAAAGACTGGAAACGGGTAGAAACAGCTAGCCTGGCTCGGTCCAAAGGTAACAAAATACACCAGCCAGCAGCTCTAAACTTTGTGCTAAGCTAAGCTAACCATCTGGTGGCAGACATGCGATTGCTCAACAAGAAAGCAAACATGTGCATGTCCTCAAATTTAAAAGGTGAAGGAGATCAGAGTTTCTCAACCTTTGTGTCAGAACCCATGTGGGGTCACCTGACATGGAGACACGGGTCACGGGAGCTTTCAGATATTTGTGTTTTTATGGCGTCATTAGTGTTTCCACATGGAGCAAATGCTTCCTTACATTAGAAATACAAAAGGACACCATGTTAAATACTGCAGCACTTTCTCTGATCGTTTTGGTCAAAATTGTATTTTGGGCCCTAAAATAACCAAATCAAGGGCTTGAAGAGGTTAAAAACAAACCTGATTCAGAGCATCAAAAGACACAAATATATATAAATATACATAAATACATTATATACATTGTGTTTAACATGCAATGACAATCTAAAGATATTAAGAAATATTGATCGTAGTGTCTCTTTCTCATCATTTTAGGTATAAAGTCTTTAAATGTGTGTGTGTGTGTGTGTGTGTGTGTGTGCGTGCACTCACAACGTGTAGACGGCCGCTGTCTAAGGCACACAGGGATTGGTTGGTTGAGTTCAGGCGGGGGGGGGCTGACGGGCGTTCTGTTGTCGTCAGCGACAGTGAAGCGTCGCCGCACGTCCGAGTCCAGACACGAGTTCGGAGACTTGGGCCTCCGCTTGACACGTGGAGACATGTTCGTGTTCCCGTCTCTTCAGAGAAGGACAGGAGGAAGAGGAAGAGAAGAGGAGGGTTATTGGTCCTACTTTGTAAGCATGACTATGACGCAGTAATCTAGAGCGGTATACTCACAGCGGTGCGTAAGGTGCGGCGGGGGGAGGAGGGACGTACAAATCCAACATGGCCGTCTTCCCTCTCTTCCCAGGAGCGTCGGAGGTTTCTAGCTGTCGGGTTCTGTAGAGACCCGGAGCTCCTTGAGAGGTCTGGAGACAACAAGAGACAGAGAATCACAAACTCATAGACTGTATACAAGAAGTGGACGTAGTCGTTTTAACGTCGCTCATTGGTTTGTGGACTGATGTTTTGAAGCCTGGAGTTCCACGATTTGGCCGTCGCCATGTTGTTTTTTTGCAACCAGAGAACAGGAAGTGACCATATCTGGACTGAGGAGGGGTGACGTAGAGACTCCGTATACGTCTCTGGTAGAGACCTGTCAATCACCGTGTAGCCCCGCCCTAAAGCATCCCCTGCTTTATGGTCTGTGTGACTCTAAATGGACCATAATGTACTAAATGAACATCATGCTGTATTGAAGAAGACTTGAAACTAGAGATTGAGACCATAAACTCATGTTTACAATGTTTACTGAGGTAATAAATCAAGAGAGAAGTAGAGTCATTTTCTCATAGACTTCTATACAACCAGAGGAGTCGCCCCCTGGTGGACACTAGAGAGAATTCAGCTTTAACTCATGAAGCTTTGACTTCACTCTTCAGAATTGGAGGTAAAGTATGAAATGTTAAAATATGAAGGAATATATTTTTTACATAATTTTTTATGCATATAGGTTGTTTAATATGTGCACAATATGAAAGGACCCTTGTGAGGTTAACGGTGTTTCTCATAAAACAACATCGAGAAACAGCAAACGCAGCTGTTCTGTTTCCTTCCTCTCCTCCAAACCGTCTGTACGTTCAGAAACAGGAACTTCACTCAGCTCCTTTTCTGCTTCGTCTCAAAACCACTTCTGAAAGAAGAAACGCGTTCTGCTGATCTATTCTGATCACCACGGACACGAACACTGTGGATCATTCTGTCATACACACACACACACACACACACACCGACCTGCTGCCACAAGAGCGTTTAATGTGGATCAATCCGCCGCTGAAAATAGTCCCCAACAAACACACTCTTTCCTCCTGTTTTTTATTTTAAAAACTACAGTGACCAGCTGCCATTTTATTGATCTAAAATATAAAGTATTGATTACAAATAATTGTTTAATTAACCAACAGTGTACATTTGTCCAACGGTGTCAGTTTTACTTCTTTACACGTAATATATTGTGGCTCTATATATTGTGGCTTCATATTTGTATAAATCTTTATTCTATAAGTTTTTGTTATTCTTCTGTAATGTTTGATCAACCTCTGGCACAAGAATTTCTGTCAGGATTAATAAAGTTCCATCTTATCTTATCTTATAAACTATTATGATAATTTACTTCACAGTAGACGGTGATGACTGGACCGAGTATAAGTAGCAGAGGCGTAAGCGCTGATTGAAGATGATCTTTGACCAGAACAGTAGGAGTGACGGAGACTGACTTCAGATCTGTTTTGATGGTAGAGATTAGAGACTGAACCGTCAAGACGCCTATCGACCCGAAACACACACATCCTGGACGTCCGTCAACGCAAAACCCCCTGAAGGCCGTTTGGTGAATTCAGAACCGTCACATTGTGGAGTAACGAATGAGTCACCATCCAAAGATGTCTAACATCAACGCCGCCTTCGGAGTGTTTCCTCTTCCTTTTCTTTCCAGGAGAAGGGACCCATTGTTCCCACTCGCACCTCAGTGGAGCAGCAGACTGGGCCGCGGCCGTGTTTACTGGTTGCTCACAAACAGAACCTAAAAAAGCTGCAATGACAGAAGGAGAATGCACCAGAGGGGGTGCTTTATTTACCCGGAAGACGGGTCGGTTTCATACAGTGAACCGCAGCTGCTAGAGGGTTCAGTGCCTGGCTCAATGGCAGTCAAGAGGATTCAAAATGGCCGCCGTCCTCTCCATCAAACATCATTCTCGTCCTTCTACTGCTACACCGCATGAGCCTCTGACAGACAAGTTCTTATCTTTTATTCCCTCAGTTTGACTATTTTTGAAGCGAAACATAACGCGAAACATAATGCGAAACATAACGCTTATTATGTTTATTAAGAAAAATAAAGTGTGTCTGTGTGATGCATTCAAGTGCTGCTGAGAAGCTTCGGACATCAGACACTTTCAATGTTGCTGTTGGGAAACAAAACCCAAAAAAAAATGAATTTAAACGCATGTGAAACTTGTAGCTCCTTTAAACTTGTAGCTCCTTTAAATAGAAACACTCCTACTGAAGTGTGGGGTTTCCTACGGCATTTAACAGCACCACGACCACAGAACAACCTCCAAGTGTCTTGCTCAGAGGCACTTGGGCAGGGTGATTTAGCTCACCTGTATGAGCGGCGGCCTCCAGCGCAGGTTCTTCAGCGGGGCAGGTGCGAAGCCGCCGGACGTTCCAGACGGCCTCTTCTTCACCACCAGGACGACGCCTCCAGACTCCGCCCTCAGCTTCTCCACCAGGCGCTTCAACTGCCAGCCCACCTGGAGGACCAATCACAGACCAGAGCTCTTGAGCAGCACCGAACACTGCCGCCTGTAGAGGGCGCTGGCAGGAATTTAGACTTCATTATATTTCTTGACTAGTAAACGCAGTTGTTGTCGAACAGCCGCTGTCTAATGATAAAAGTTCACTAATTACAAGATTCCAGGAATCACACCGTGAAACAGTCCGTCACCTTCAGAGCACCAGAGCTTTAACTTCACATTAAACAACAACTGTTTAACGATGTTTAACCTTTGACAGAGTTAGGCTAGCTGTTTCCCCCTGTTTCCAGTGTTTGTGCTAAGCTAAGCTAAGCTAAGCTCAGCTCAGCTCAGCGTCTCCCGGCTGTAGCTTCATATTTAGCGTACAGACACGAGAGCGGCATCGATCTTCTCCTCTGATGCCAGAGTGTCTAACTTTTTCTTTTTTTTAGAGTGGACTTTTGACTCACCACTGTCTGTTTGTTGACCTGAACGACTTCATCTCCAGCATGAATCCTCTGGGTTTTATCTGCAGGAGACTGAAGGACAGTTTTTATACTCTTGTTAGAAGGTAAACGGAAGAGCCACATCTGGAGCATCAGTACAAAACACAATAACATGTTTAAAAACGCTCTGAAGCGTCACGAAAAAAGGTCCAGAGAACACAGCACACTCACATTCTCTGTCGTTCCCGTGATGATGTGAAGCCCGTCGTAGGTGGACTTGATGTAAATACCCTGAAAGATTAAAACACATTTAAAGAACCGTGTGTTTGAGAATGTATATATGAATCTTCTGCGTAAATATCTGTTAGAGTTTCTTTTTTTTTTTAGTGTCTGGCACTGATATGTGATACGTTTAATGATGTGTTGTGAATGTAAATGTCCAGTATTCTGTTTTTTCTCAGCTCACCAGTCCCTCCCCAGGCTTGATGTTGGTGATGTGCACCTCCTCCAGACAGGACATCTCACTCTTTGAGGGGTCAGAGGTCACCTGGACCGTCTTCTCACAGACGGCGGTCAGAGCTCGGGACTGAAACACACAAGCGACGAGAAGGAAAAGACATGGGCCTTTTTTACCTGTTTTACTCAGTGCATGTAGTTATAGTTATGAATGTATGTGTATCTGTATATAATGTGCGTGTGACAGTTCTCATGATGAGGTGCGTGGAATCGATTCTGTCTTTCTTCAGGATGAAAACACGTCACTTTGTTGCATCATTTAGCTTCTAATGGTGCTGAAACTCTTCTCAGTTGTTTGTCTATCTACATGAATTGAGATCATAAAACTTCTGACGGATTGATTTATTAAAGCGAGGAAGTCGTTGGCAGCACGGTGGCCTCAAACATCCGTTGTGATGAGTCTAACATGCTGAATCGCTATCTGCCCCTGACCTCTGACCTCTCTGTGGAAAGGGGAAACAATAATAAATACAGACCGATGAACCCCGAAGAGATCAGAGCAGAAAATGTTGCAGGTTTTGTTGACAAAGACAAAGAGGATCTTTCCGGAGTCTGAGGCCGACACAAACTGGACACAGCATCGTATCATCATCATGCTGAAGACATCACAAACATCGCACACCGTATTAAAGCGCCGCTCAACCTCCACACGTGCAGCACAGACACGTGGATGAACTATCGCTCCTAACCCTGATCCAGGAGCTGCAGCCGATTGATCGTCGAACCAGCTTTAACCCTCTGAACCCCAAGCAGTTTCAGGAGGAAAATATCAAAAAATGTCTTTTGTTTTGGGGTTCAGAGGGTTAAAGGACATCATGTGACATATCGGCCCGTCTCCCTGCCGCTGCAGAAAACTCACGAGTGAACCAGGAAGTAGTTTTAGTGGCACAAGGTTTATTAAACGCAGCGTTGATTTATGCAACTAAAGTAAAAGTCAAAGGGTCACGAGGTCACATCAGAAAGTGATTTAACATCAGCTGATTCAGTATTCTGGGAACAACAGGACGACCAACAGGAAGTGTTATCTAAGACAGGAAGTGGATGTTCTGAGCTGAATAAACAAACCTGCAAATTCTCTCTCTCACACACACACACACACACACACACACACACACACACACACACACACGGGACACTCAGTACAAGAGAGGAAAAGGAAATGTGTGATCACTGTGTGTGTGTGTGTGTGTGTGTGTGTGTGTGTGTGTGTGTTTCCGATCAGCATCTCCAAACATCCAAACCAGAGGGAACAGGAGAAGCAGTACTCACCACTTCCAGAATCTTCTCCTCGATCTCATAAACAGTGCAGTCCTGCAATTAAAAGGGAGACAGACTGAGTGACGGACGTCACGCTGCAAAAAACTCACACTTCAATCCTTTAAACAGGTTCCAGTTCGTCTTTATAGTGAAATTAACAGCGTAATGTGATTTTATCTTTGATCCCACAGACTCTTTACTGCTTTAAATTAGAAGCTGAACAGAAGTTTAAAACTAGATTTGAGACAAGATGAGAAACATGAAGTCCAAATAAAAAGCTTTTTGGTGTTCAGCATCAGAGTTATAAATACCTGGAAGAGTTCAACATTTAGACAATAATGTAAGAGATCAAATAAAACAGTCATCCTAATAAATCCTAATAAAAGTGCACTTTTGTGACATTTTCTGATGTGATGTTGCAGCCTCAGCCGAGCTCTTTCCTCAAACCCTCTTCAGACTATTTGGATAAAATAATACATTCATCTGCTGCATGAAAGAGAAGTCGCTGCTCCAATAATGACAGAGAAGTAGCTCATCACATCCTGGCTTTTCCTCCAGAGCCACAGGACACAACTGTTGTCACCAAACATTAGAATGTGCCAGAAGACACCAAATGTGGGCTTTTGGCCGGCTGCTCCATGATGGAATTTCAACTACAATTTTGGCTTCCAGCGATTATGAAATCGAGATAAATCGTCTCATGATGTACTCGTCATATCAATATTGGTGATTATAAGTCCACGTCATGGTGGAGAGTCCCGGTTGTACGACATCACGTTCAGAATACAGACACCAGAAACAGAAACTGAAGCTTTTCCCCGTCAGTGTGAGTAAACAGAGGAAGAGAAAGGAATCGGCGGGAAAGCAAATATTTGAGAAATGAAGAAGCTGCGAAGTGAAACCAGAGGGAGGGTCGGAGACACGGAGAGACGGGATGATTACATGACAACGCTGCAGTCTGCAGGGAGGCCACACGCTGCAAGAAATGTCTTCAACAAAACCAAAAAAATACTTTACAGAATGTCACCTTTGCTTTATTGTTAGGGATCAGCTGTCAGCCTAAGTTTAATGGGTTTTTTTGTTTAATAAACCTTTTAAAAAGTATTTTAAACCAAACTAAATAATCTCACCTCTCCACTAAGTCACTTGTAATGCTAAACAGAAAACACGGCTCATAAAAGCTGTTGTGTTGACTTCCAGGTTCAGAACAATTCTACATTTGTTATTTGCTTAAACAGCGAGTAGTAGTTTCATTAATCATCAGATGGAAACATTGCGTAATGCTCCTTTAAATACTTAAAGTTTGAGGCTTTTGATGGATCAAACTGATGATTATCAAAAGTTTAAGAAGTTAAAACGTAATGTTTTGGTAGCACTGGTATCTGAAAGAGAATCCTCATCAAAAGGACTTTGTACGAGTAAACAGGAGTTATCTGGTCCATCATCATCTTCATCTTCATCAAAGCCTGAAAATAAACAGCCCTCGGGGGTCACGACCGTCTGAGAAAAACAAAACACACGAGACTTTTCATCAGAGACGTTTGAGCCTCACTGACCTTCTGCACGGTGGAGGTGAGCTCCAGGCACAGCTGGATGATTCGGCTCTTAGTGGAAGTGAAGTCACTAACGCTCGTCACAGGAGTCCTGTGAGGGGGGGGGGGGGGGAGGGAGAGAGTCAGTATCTTGACCCATAAGACCATCAGGGCGCCGCTCTCCTTACTCTCTATTTATATTAAGAAAGATCTTATCTCACTCTCAGACCACCACGAGTTAAAAGACAAACATGATGTTTGTATCCGCTACAGCTGATTAATATCAACTCCATTAATAACTTGCTATCAAGCCAGAATTAACCTCCTGTAAGCTGTCGTCTGTTCTGGTTTCAGAACCTCACATATAAACATTTCTGTATATCATATCTATGTTTTCAACCTAAAGGGCAACCTCTGCATTTTCAACCTGGACTCTATTTTCTCATGTTTTTGTGTCGAAGTGACTAATTGTTGAACAGGCTGTAATGTAATCACTACTGTAATGTAATCCTCACCATCAATGTGCGTCCATTAAAGAGCTTCTTGTTGCTGCTGACAGACTCAGATTGTTATTAAAAGAGTCTGAAAAGATTATGGAAAGAACTTCTCTTTATACTGAAGTTACCCTTCAGCACTTCAACACGTCTGATTCTGGGCCTCGCATTTTTGGAGCAAGAAGCTCGAGAACAATAAGATTGAATCCATATTTAGTTTGAATATGTGCTTGCTGCCCATTTTCATGTTGCAGCGTCAGGGTCGTGAACATTTATTAGACTCTCAGACACCAAAGAAGGTGTGTGTGTGTGTGTGTGTGTGTGTGTGTGTGTGTGTGTGTGTGTGCGTGTGATTTGACAGGCGACAGATGTCAGTTGTGTTTTGGGTTCTCAGTGAACAGCTGCAGCAGGAATGCTCTTCAAGCTGCTACAAGCGCAGGAACTCGCTGGTTTAACGGGGACCAGCGAGGTTTATGTCTCCAGCCCGGTGTACGGGTTCTCTCACCCGTCCAGCCAGGCCAGCAGACTCTTGGCGGCTCCGATGAGCTCGACCACGGCGGTGAGGAACTCGTTGGAGGGCTGATGGGAGATTTTGTTGTGGTAGGCCGGGTTCTTCCTGCGCTGAGACACCGAGCCGCTCAGGCTGTGGTGCGCCGCTCTCATCCTCCCCACCAACGTCTTCAGGTTGTCCTTCTCCACGCCGTAGTTCTGTCCAAAACATAGAGAGAATATATGTATATATACATATATACAGTATATAAGCTTTAAATACAAAAAGTCTGACATTTTGAACAATACATTCTCAATAAACAGGATGTTAAAGCTGCAGTGAGTAGACAGCATTGGTCAACAACATAACATACTATTATTATATGTTTTAATGCCTTTTGTTTTGTTTTTTAGAGTAAAGCACTTTGAGCTGCATTCATAACTTGACTTGTGAGCTTTAGGAAAATTATGAAAATGATTGTTAAAATTAGTGACATAATTTATTGATTTTTAGAATGTTTTAAAGGAGAACCAACACTCCTAATATTCATGTAAACACAAAACCACAACCATACAATCATACGTGATTCTCACACACACACACACACACACACACACACACACACACACACACACACACACACTCTACAAACCAGTCACCACGGCTATGATCTGACAGCTGACTGAAACAAAAACATTCCACACCTCCTCAAACTGAACCCTGACCCACAGTGAGCTGGTGGGACCTGAGCTTACAGGAACGTTGGTGATAACCAATAACGGTGATCGATAAATATGAATGCTCAGTGCGCCTCATTAAAAATGGAATTTTTTACTTTTTAAATACTTGTCTGATTGGCTGCAACTAACTAAATTGTTTTTACAATCGATTAATGTCAGTTCTTGATTAAGTAAATCATCAGTCTGTTGATAAAATAATGAAAAATGTGAAGTTTTTCAGAAGTTTTGTCTGACCAACAGAACAAAACCCAAAAACATTCAGTTTAATAACATTTATGACAAAGAGAATCAGCAAAAATTACTGAAACCCATTATTAGATGATCAATGTTAACTTTACATTTGAGTTGATTATCTATTAGTTTGAAGTGGCTACAGCTTTGAACGTTCTCATTTCGCTCAGCTTGTAACAGTAACAAGGAGATTATTAATCTTCTGTAACACTTAAAGCAACACAAGGCCTCTTATAGCTGTGCTACATTCAGGGCCTCACTGTTAATTGAGCACTCTAAACATGACTGTGCTCTTTCACCGATGATAATAAAGCTGTTGGTGGTTAAAAGCGTCTCTGGTGGAAAACCGATCATCTGACGGCCAACGGAAGCTGCTGCTGGAACAAAGCTGCAATGACTCTTCCTCTGTTTGCATGCGAGTGTGTGTGTGTGTCAGAGGAAGGGTGGGGGGTCTTTGTGACAGGTGGGAGGGGTCACATCTGTTTCCTGTTCCACAACAGAGAGCAGTAAACTCAGCTCTGTGCTGCAAAAAATATCCACTTGACCTTCGATTTGAGTCAGACAGGAAAACTCTCCCTGGTGGAGGATCTATTCAGGACTCTGATGTCACTTCCTGCTTCTGTTCTCTCTGGGTCTCATTAATGAGCTCCATTCGACGAGGAAAGGTCGAAAGCTCTGGAAAAAAGCTAGCAAGCGAACATTGAGTTCAGAATAGTTCGTCACAGATGAGTAAATGTTTCTTTCAGGGTTTTCAACGAGCCAACGAGCACCAACCAGGGCTGAAAAAAGAGAGAAAGAATAAAGGAAGGAAGGAAGGAAGGAAGGAAGGAGGGAGCGAGGGAATGTGTAAGATCAGTATTAGACGAGTGAAACCGAATCACAGACTGTATATACTGTAAGAAGTGGATGTAGTCATCGTGATGTCATCCATTGGTTTGAGGACTGATGTTTTGAAGCCTCGAATCTGATGATTTGGCCGTCGCCATCTTGTTTTTTTGCAACCAGAGAACAGGAAGTGACCATATCTGGACTGAGGAGGAGTGACGTAGAGACTCCGTATACGTCTCTGGTAGAGACCTGTCAATCACGGTGTAGCCCCGCCCTAAAGCATCCCCTGCTTTATGGTCTGTTTGACTCTAAATGGACCATAATGTACTAAATGAACATCATGCTGTATTGAAGAAGACTTGAAACTAGAGATTGAGACCATACAATTGAATCTTTCTTAATTTGAATCTGGTTTTAAAGTTTGGTGCAACTTGATTTGAAGTTAAACCGTGATTTAATCAGGTATAAAGATCCCTGTTGGTGTTACGCAGCCTTCGTACATTTTCTTGATTATACTTACATACTTTAAATAGCTGAATACTTCCTCCACCACTGCTCTAAACGTGCAACAATCAGAGTCACAGTTCAAAGACAAATAGAGAAAGTAAATAGCCAGTTTGTGAGCTGGAGCCCATTGAGTTCGGTCGCACCATTAAACCTCAGCAGCGACTGTAAATCCTTCTTTTCACGCGGACGCAGACAGTCGGAGCTCATAAACAGCTGACTGAGGGGCTTCTCATCTGCAGCGCAACACTTTCACTGTTTCAAACAAGAGCTTTGAAATGTTCAGCTCGGAGCTCAAATGCTGCACCTTCAAATAAACATTTGCAAAATTCCTCATTTGCTTTTTTAATATGCAAATTTCTATAATTTCACAGCAGAATGCCGCGTCTGTGTCTAAAATGCGGTTATTGATATTTTAATTTCATCTCATGCTGAAAGACTTGCAGTGTTTTTGGGGTAATTAGTTTATTTGAGGGATTATTACGTCAGTTTGAACAATGAAACAAATCATTTTAAATGCATGTTTTCTTCAGCGTAAGAACAAATTATATTAGAGTTTTTCTGACAAAGAAACAAATCAGTCCTCTGCAGAAAACCATTGCCACATTTCTATGTATTTTTTACAGTGTAGAAGTATTAAATCCAGCCGTGTGGGCGTGTTGCCACATCTGATAAAGATTGAACAGAGTGCATTTATCTGCATCAGCACATTCTCAGGCATCAGAGCCAGGAATCAACCACTGCTATCCCATGTATCCCATGCTGCCCATGTGACAGACACGGAGCTACTTTAACTCGTTCACACGTCGAGAAAAGATGTTGCTGCTCTGCAGCTGCTGTCAGCGGGACAAGAAGCTTCTTCTGAGAAAGATCCTGGTGCTCTCTGCAGCGGTGGAAGAAGTATTAACATCCTTTACTGCAGTAAAAGTACCTTCCACACTGTGGAAATACTCCACGACAAGTAAAAGTCCTGCATTCAAAACCTCATTGAGGTAAAATTACTGATAGCGCAGTAAAATACTTACTTATAAGTACAGTACTTAAGTAACATGTACTTAGTTACAATCCACCACTGGTGAGGTTGTGTTACGTTAATCAGAATATGAACGGCTGCATGTAAACGGGAATATTAGTGGAATATACATTTTCTTTATCCATGTAAACAGCTCGTTAGGAACATTCTCTTTTTTGGAGTGAAGGCCAAAACAGAATATTTGGTCTCTATAAACAGCTTCAATCAAGCACACTAACTCATTGGTGACGGCATTACAGAGAGAGTCAGTGAGCAGAGTGAGTCAGACACAAGCGGCCTCCTACTGCAGACTCAAACCAGGACGAATAAACCACCAACAGCCAGGAGGTTCCTCTGTGGATCCGTGACCGCTGCAAAGAGAACACACAGCTGCTGCTGTTGGTTTAGTTTGATTTTACCCAACTAATAGAGAAAGAATGGAATCCCTGCCAATGATGTGGGTTTGCTTGATGCTGCGTGTTACTGACCAGCGCACAGAGCAGATCCACGGCCTCCAGCACCAGCTCCTGGTGTCCGACCCGCGACAAGCCCAGAGACAGCAGCTCCTGGTGGGACGTCCTGAGCAGCTTCTCCCCGTCCACCTGCTGCTGCTGGAAGGACGGGATGTACTGCTGCAGGCTGTCGTCCAGACCTGACGGGACGGAGAGAGCGAGAGCGAGAGAGAGAGAGAGAGGAGAGACTTTCACTAAAACATGTCTGTGCTTTCTTTAGCTTGTTCTGCTTTTATTTACAGCGTCACATAAGCAATTAAAGCAGATTGACAGGACACAAGGAAGAATGTGACGTGTGCCGCACATGAGTAAACGATACCAAGCTGAGTTTCAGTGGAGGTCGGCTCTGTTATGATTTATTCTAGTTTGACAGCAAACAGAGCTGCTGAGTCAACAGCGACTTAATGACTCTCCCTGCTGCTCCATCCCAGCTGACACCGTCCTGCCACCTCACCACACCTCTCCTCGGGATCTCCGCTGCACACGGGAGGTCCCACACCGGGATCCCTCGCATTCATCGCCATCAGCTGCGTTTCACTGCTAATAGAAGTTCAGCTTGGGCCAAGTATTACAGCTAAAATCCAGCTTTTAAAGGCACAATGAGTCGGATGAGTCGATTGTGGTTTATAAACACAGCACCGGCCCGTCAACAACAAAGGAGTCCAGTAAAACGCCACGTTGGGCTAATAAATCCAGAGCTGATGATGGAAGTAGAGGAGAGGAGTCGTCTCGGCACAAAACAAAGTTTATTTGCATTTCAATTATCCAGGAAACAGGAGATTAGTTGGGTGCACTGGAGGATGTGGGCGAAACTCCAGATTAAATTTACTTAAATAAAGACTTAAACTTTGGTCTTTGTTGTTATTTATAATAACCGAATATAATATATAATGAGCAAATATCGTGATACCGTAGGGTTGACTATTGGTGCTTTCACTAACTATATTCACACAGTGAGATTCCTGATAATGAATCCTCAGTGATGTGGATATAATGACTACATGGATAAAGGCAAACAATGGAACATAGAAAGTTACTTTACTGTAACGCAGCCTTTGTCAACGTTGGTTTTAGATGAATCCATCCTGCAGAACCAGCAGATGAGACCTGGACCCGCTCTGGACCAGCAGAATCCCACCTTCAATCCCCATGACCGCACGTGACTTTGAGCGAGACACCAGCAGCTCCAGCTCCAGCGGCGCCACTCTGTGCCCGACCCTGACCTCCGACCCCTGACCCCTCTGTGAGAGGCGGCAGCAGGAGACGAGATAAAAGAGTTCTCACCGCTGGATCGATGGAGGTGCATCGAATGTGTGATTTAAGTGTAAAATTTGCTCCATCTATAGAAAAGTCTGTTCCAGTGATTCTCAATTTAATGTTTTAACAAAGTCTAGAAACAAATAAAACAGAATGAAGTCTCTCTCCCTCTGTGTGTTGTAACCACAGCTTCTCTGGGCTTTGTTGACACAGTCGGACCTGCCATGTGGCCTTTAGTTCATGTCAGTGCATGTTAGCACATGTTAATGCGTGTTAGTGCGTGTTAGCGTGCTGCGCTGGCTCATCTGTTGCCATGTTGAGAGCCGTGTAGAGGCAACAGATCTGCTCTGAATCTCATATTCAGCACCTTCACGTCTTGTTTTGTTCGCATTATGATATCAAAATGCAGCCAATTTGTAATTCAAATTGCCTCAAACGTCAGTTGTAAATTGTTGGCAAACTTTTAAAAATGGTAAAAGTTTAGAGAAACTGCACTGATGTTAAATTTAGACAATAAAACATCATCTCAGCTAGAATAAAGGACTTAATCACCAAGTACTGATTCACTAACCAGCTACATTTGGACACTTTTAAATGTGTAGTAAAAATACACGTTAGTTTGAGCTTTAGCACCAAAGCGTCCACCAAATGGCGGACCTTCTGCAGCCCTGAGCACCGGGGGCCCAATCAGCTGGCCAACCAAATGCCTGAGCTGTGTGAACGGTGAGAAGAAAACAACTGCCTCTGCATGAGGTCACTAAAAAGTGTCCCGAAGCAGCTCCAGGACTCCCGTCGGTCTCCAGGCGGACAGCAGGAGGACAGATGGCCGACAGCAGGGAGGAAACATTCCTCTTTAACTAACCGCTGATGTGACACCTCTGTGTGGTCACACCTCCGACACTGAGAATAACGCTGCAGAGATGAATCATCTCGTCACGTTCCAAAGGGCCACGAGCACTCACGCCGTCTAACTCTGGTCTTTGACAGTTTATAGAACTGAGAAATAAGAAATCTGCAATAGTCGGAGGGAGAGGATTGAGCACTCGACCATTTAAATCATTTATAAAGAAAAAACGTCCAAACTTTCTTTGTTCCTGACTCCTCAAAAGTAAATCTTGTAGCTTTTCTGTGTCTCATACGACACTAGAATACATATTGTTGACTTTGGGACTGTTGGTAGCAGTGTTTCCTCCAGGCAACTATGGGGGGGGGGGGGGGGGGGGGTCAAGGGTCACGCTCACGCTGAAGAAAATCGTTTTTAAATGCATCAATCTGGTGCATTTGAAAGCAAACTTAAGAGGCGAGATCTGTGAAGAACTTTGTGCTCTTGTAAACAGTTCAGTGCTCTTAAGTACAATGTTGAGGTACTTTACTGGAGCATTTTAATTGATGTAACTTTATACTTCTACTACCTCTCAGAGGGCAAGGTTGTACTTTTACTTCCTTACTTTGCAGCATCCAGATTCCTAATACAAAATATAATACTAATAAACTATGATGTATTATTATGTAGTATAGCCTAGTTATTAAGTACATTAAGTAGTTATAATTCCTCACCTTTGCCAACTGCAACATGAAAGTGAAGAACACATTAATAATTATAGTTCAGTGATAGAGGCCTACTGTGAATACCTTCTGCGTGGTGAGAATACTTTTAGTTTTGGTACTTAAAGTATATTTAGTACTTTCATACTTTCCCTTAAGTAACAGAAGCATACATTTTTAATGTAAATTACATTTTAAACTCAGTTTTGTGTCACATTACAATGCAGAAAGGCAAGATGTCACGACAACGTGTTAATGAGAGTTCCAGAGATGACTACATGTTAACATCAGCAGCCTGAACTTCTCCACTACACATCTCCTTCTGCTTTGTTTTGGTTTCTGCTCCAGTTGAGCTCAGACAACGTTCTCTGCTTCTACACGTTCCTGGAAAGTTGCCCAGATGCAAACGTTCCTCGTGATGTTCCCAAAACTTCCTCAGAGAAATATTCCAGAACTCCCTGCCTGGAACACGCCCCTCAGAAACACCTCCGCGACAGAAGGTGTGATGGTGAAAACACGGACGTATTTCAAACTGAACTTTCCCCGGTTTAGTCACGGATGGACGGCGGTCACGAGGAATGTGTTGGCGACAGCCCGGATCACATTACTGACACCCGAGGAGGCCGCTAATCTCCGAGCAGCGGGTCGGCTCGCTGTCACGTGTCGGCTAATGAAAGCACCGACAGCGCCGGAGCCAGAGAGAGGAAACGCTCACACAGTCAAATCTGAGCTTCTGTTGAGTTTACATGATGGTTCCTTCAACACAAGCACAAACCTCCAAGTCACGTGAGGTATAGTGATGGTTTCACAGAAAAAGGGTAAAAAAAGGCTCCTGCTGCTGTGGAAGTTCATCACATTTCAGAAAAAACAAAAAAGAGTTTGGTTTAAAAAACAAGACATGAATTTACACTGTGGAATAACCTGAAACATCTGGCCCAGTGCCAGCATCCACCGCTGGATCCAATGTTCTCTTGAGAAATAAAACGTCAGTAATTAACGTGGCGGTTTATGTGACAGTTGGGACATTCTTTACATTCCACATGTTTTAAACATGGCAGTCGGGTTTGGGGCTCGGCCCAAACTGTTGGAACTGTTCGTCGGGCGGCGGAGGAGCGAGCGCTGAGATACTGCTGAGTCGGCTTCTCAAGAAGCTTATTAGTGAAACAGATAACTGAGGCTGGTTTGTATGAACACTGCAAAGACTACCAGTATTTGTGGCAACAGTGAGGCTCATTGACGCTTTACTGGAGCTCAGAGGAAGAAGAGATATCATCGGCTTTTTATGGGATTTGTTGACAATAAAGAAAAACATAGAATATCACAAACATGTTGAGATTAGAATCTTTACATCTACTCTCTGTAAGATTCCAAGAATTACTCAATTTTGGGAATAAACCACCTGTATGTCGAAGCTTTGCAGGACTTGAATCATCCTAAAATTCCCCCCTCTTGTTTATCCGTTAACGTTATATTAATAGCTTCTCTGATTTATCACGAACATGAATCTAATCAGCTGTGAGGTCACAGCACAGTCCACATGAGAAAACAAACCGCTTTAATCTTTGCTCTTTGAAACCGACCTGTTTGTTGAGCTCAACAAGAAAGCACACAGAAAGTCTAACAGCAGTCAGTAAATGTTCAGTCTCCAAACTATGCTTTTCTATTTATATTCACAATAAAATACCTCATGTAATAAGATATTAAATGTCTCATGACAGGAAACTTATCAGGACTTATATTGTATTATATTGTATTTTTAGCTTTTGTTGTTTCTTTGCGATTTACTTATTGATGATACCTTTACTGTTTGACTATTTATTGTACTTTTTCTTTATTACTGATGTCTCTGGTTGTTTTGTCCACTCTGCTGCTGTAGTCCTGCACATGTACCCGCTGTGGGACTAATACAGGACGATCTTATCTTTTCACTTTAGACTTGCATTTCCAGAAGCATCCGTTTCCAAAGTGTACTTTTGCCACAGATGTACCAGAAGTTCATTTCTCCGCCTGTGGTCTGGTCTCTGCCCGGTCTTATATTTGCAGACTGACCTCCTGTCAGTCGGCTGGCGGTGGGAAACTCTCTGTGTACCGACGGGCAGCAGCAGCTCAGAGGGGGAAACTTTCACTTCTTTTCTGCTGGTTCACGGCGAAAACCACCAGAACACAGTTACTGCTTCACCCAAGAAGCAACTTTACCAACTACAAAATCCTTCATGTTATCTGCAGAATCTAGAGATGGAGAGATAATTGGTTCACCAATGTTTACCGATATCAGGAAACCCTACAACCAGATACAAGTCTCTGATAAACGGATCTTTTCAACAACCTGGCCTCTGTT